ATCAGTCATGGAGACTCCAGCACCCAACTCAGGTCTGTGTCGTGGGTTCTGACATGGGAGCCTGGAAAGAACAGGAAACGGTGTCCTTTGTGTGAGGAGGGGACTTCAGTGGCTCTGTGCTTCCTTTCTGGAAGGGCTGTGATGTCAGGAAAAGTTACTGTCTATTGAAATTGGTGGTGTTTCAGAGCTTTGTAACTTTGGGGCAGTTTTTCAAGCTGACTGTAACAATGAGATAAGTTTTATCAGTAGCTGACTAACATTGGTGTATTCACAGCTGAGCCTCCCAAGCCTGTCATTGTTAGCTGAGAAACAGTGGAAAGCCAGGCGTGAACTCCCGCCAGGCTGGAGTTGAAGCTTCTCTGGGTATTTGTGGAGTGAGCTCTCCTCAGCACAGCCAGCCTTGCCAGTGTCTGTGGGTGTGAGAGAAGAGAGAAGTTCTGAGTGGGAAGGGTTGGTGGGTGGGAGCTGTTGCCAAGGATGTCCAGAAGACAGCAGCCGTGGGGTAGGCCTGTAAGGCCCACTTACTTTGTGCAGCACCCCAAGTGGGGTCATTTGGTCCATACTAAGGTATGGAATGAATTCTCCACTGATTATTTCAGACACTAATATTAGGAGCTCTGGTACCATAGTGCCTAAGGTACTTGACTGCTAACCAGAAGGCTGGTGGTTCAAACTCACCAGCCACTCCTCAGGAGGAAGGTTGGGCAATCTATTTCCATAGTGATACCGCCTCAGAAACCCCAGGAGGGGTTGCTATGAGTCAGGTCCGACTCGACGGCACATAACAACACAACAACAATATAGGAGATTCATATGGGTTCTGTGAAAAAGATATTGAGAATGTTACCCTATGATTCTTAGACTGAGCGGCCATCCTGACTCCCCCATGATTCTTGAGTCTTTAATGCGCTAGTGTGTTTTGTGGATATTGGACTGAGGGACTGTGGAACACAGCCATCTCCCCAGTGAATTGACCACAGGACCTGTTTTCCTGTCAACAGGCATTGATTTCTCCTGGGGGACCCAGTTACAGAGCCCTGGCGGCACAGTGGTGAAAGTGCTTAGTTGTTGACCATAAAGTCAGCTGTTCAAACCTACCAACTATTCCACAGGAGAAAGATGTGGCCATGTACTTCTATGAAGATTTACAGCCTTGGAAATCCTATGGGGGCAGTAGTATAGGGTCACTACGAGCTCTGGTAGCATAGTGCCTAAGGCACTTGACTGCCAACCAGAAGGCTGGCAGTTCAAACCCACCAGCCACTCCTCGGGAGGAAGGTTGGGCAATCTACTTCTGTAGTGATACTGCCTTGGCAACCCAAGGAGGGGTCGCTATGAGTCGGGTCCAACTCTACGGCACATAACAACAACAACAACATAGGGTCACTATGAATCGGAATTGACTCAACTGCAGTGAGTTTGGGTTTTTTAGTTTGGGACCCAGTTTGAGAAAGCCAGATTTAAGCTATGGAAAAGGAAGATGTTCTAGTATTTTGTAGAAAAATAACATTCTGAAAAGTATGTTTAATTAACTTGAGAAAACTAAAAATGTTTCAGGGAAAAACATGACAGATCTGGTATAAAATCCTCAGACTTAAAAAAAAAAATATATATATATATATATATATATATATATATCCAAACCAGTTGCCATTGAGTCAACTCTGAGTCATGGTGACCCCATGTGTATCAGAGTAGAACTGTGCTCCCCAAGGGTTTCAGTGGCTATTTTTGGCAGTAGATAATCAGGGCTTTCTTCTGAGGTGCCTCTGGTAAACCTGAACCTTTTGGCTAGCAGCTGGGCTTGTTAACTGTGTGTACCAGCCAGGGACTCCTTCAGACATAAAGGACTGCCCAAATGCCCATTTCTGAGGGGGAACTGGTGGGACACATCTGGATTAGGCCTGGGTATATTTGTGGGGTAGAAGGAGGGAGGTAGGTGGTGATGGTGGTGGTAGGGTTAGTCGGCTTCCAATCAGGATGGGAGCCAAGGCAGAAATGGGTCTAAATGGTATGATTCCTTTTGAGGTAGCCTCTCTCTGGTGTGAGGTAAATGAGAGAGGATACTAACTGCAAAAAATTGCTGGGAGAAAAAAATTGATTTGTTTTTCAATTTCCCCTCATTTTATCAAGTCTTAAGTCTATTCAAGGAGCTTTGGAGGCACATTGGTTAAAGTGCTAGGCTGCTAACTGAAAGGTTGGCAGTTCGAATCCATCAGCCTCTCTGTGGGAGAAAATGCGGCTGTCTGGTTCTGTAAAGATTTACAACCTTAGAAATCCTATGGAGCAGTTCTATTCTATTCCTAGGGTTGCTAGAAGTTGGCATTGACTCCTGGCAATGGGCTTGGTTTGATTTCGTTTTCATTTTCTTTTTATCTTCTTTGCATTTATTAAAAAGCATTATAATAGCATTAATTATGACAACAAGACACCCACTCACACACAGGCAGTCCTGCCATCTGGCCATTTTGAGTGTCTCTTGCAGCCCTTGTCCATAAGTGGATGCATTTTCTTGTAATCAAAATGAATTTTTGATGCATTGGTTGCATTTGTTGTAATCAAATAAAGGACATAGTTTTATGCATTCATTTTTTTCAAATGAACATTTATGAAATGTTTCATGAAATGTTTTCTATGTAATTGCACTGTTCTTAGTATTATAATTTTGGTTACTTAACATCAAATAAAGGACATAGTTTTATGCATTCATTTTTTCAAATGAACATTTATGAAATGTTTCATGAAATGTTTTCTATGTAATTGCACTGTTCTTAGTATTATAATTTTGGTTACTTAACATTTTTTCAAGTGAATATACTCTATTTTGGACATTTTAAAGCTATTTATATAAAGCTCTCAAGTAAACATTTCTGTGCTTTTTTCCTTCCATTAGATTCTTTTCTTAAAAAAAAACATTTCTAGAATTTGAGATATTTGGTCAAGTGGTGTGTATCTTATGGTGTTTATGCTGCTTTTGCCTGGGACCTGTTTGATGTCTACTTCTGGATGTAATGTGAATTTTGGAATGATGCATTTAACCTGTGGATTTAGAGTTGGGAGGCGGGGGTCCAGCTTTGTTCTGGCCTGATGATCCCTCCTGTGTTTCTAGTTCTTTGTGCTGTTCTCAGCGTCCCCTGTCCCCTCCTTTTCTGACCCTGTGCTCTGTGGTTTCCAGCTTCCCCTTCTCTCTGCTGTCAGGACTTGGAAATGGCCACAGTCAGCTCTGTTCTTTGTTACTCTTTCTGAGGAAAGGCTCTTGCTGGCTTAGTGCCTGCTGCCACAGAGCCTGACAGTTGCTTGCCGAGGACCCTTTTTCCTTACCACTCCCTCTTACTCAGATCACTCAGGGCAGGAGAGGCTCAGGAAAGGCGTTTCCATGGGTGAGGAGGGAAGGAGGAAGTTGGTTTCATAGTTAAGGGACTGAAGACAAAACTGACTACTGTTACTAGCCTGTTTCCTCCTTCGAGTCTTGAATTAGACCCACATGCAGCAGAGAAGACCGAGTTAGCAGCCTTCTTGGTACCTAGAACTATGGCAGTTACAAGTGAGAGGGCCTTAGAGACCACTTAGTCTAATCCCTTTATCTCACAGATGAGAAAATTGTGAGGCCCAGAGATTGTTCCTTGAGTCTTTCCTCCCTGTATTGGTTTCCTCTCCTCTACCAGATAGCAACCAGGCACTGTCTCACCTTCATCCTTCTGACGTCTGGCTGGTAAAACCACTTCTCTCTTTAAATCAACCTTAATGAATCTGTGGTAACAGGTGGACAGGAAACTGCTCTTCCAGATTTGCTCCTGTTCAAAGTGGCTTGTTGAAAGGATGCAGCTTTTGTCCATTCCACAAAGGTCATGTTGAGGGCAGTGGAGAGACTCCACCCTGACACCCAAATGGGCAAAGAGGAGCAGCATAGTGTAGTGATGAAGAGCGCAAACTTGGTAACCAGGTGTCTGGGTTCAATCCCAGAGAAGAAGGGGACAGGAGACGAGGTAGAGAAAGACTGAGAACAGTACAGATCTCTGCCAACTTCTCTGCCAATTTATTAAAAGTGTAACCCTAGGCAAGTTAGCCTCCCTCCCATATCTGTAAAATGGGATTAACAGGGTTAACTGAGTTAATATGTATAAAGCAGTTGGCAGAGTACACATAATAAGTGCTATATAAGTGTTTGTTAAAAAGAAGAAAGAAATAGGAAACAAAGAAAATAAGAAAGAAAGAAATTGAGTGATTTAGGTCTATTACTGATCCTAAGGCGCCAATAGGCAGAGAGGTGGATAAGGAGATGCTTCTCTGGGGAAGTGCGTTTTCAGCTGTTCTCTGAGAGGTGAAAGTATCCCTTGTTTCAAACCCTTTATTTTATTTTCTGTGTCCTGTTCAAGCGTTTGGCGAATGGTACTCTGAGTGCAGATTCCTTCTTTCCAGCAATTGGCATTGTTTTTTGTAAAGAAGAATGCAGCATTGGATTCCCCCTGGCTCTGCTGTAATCTTGTCAGACCACAGGCTAATGTTAAAAGCCTTTGGGCTTCAGTTTTCCCCTCTGCGAAGTGGAGGAATGAGACTTGATAACTCAGCCTTCTTACAGTCTGGGGGAGGGAGGGTTCTGAATTCTCTCCTTTCCTTTCTCAATCACTGAAACAAAGTTGAGGAGGCCAGGGCTACGTGCATGCTGCAGATTGCCTGCGTTTGGGAAATTGAAACGGGTTTAGTTGCACAGTTCCTTCTTTAACTTCTGTTCATTAGGTTTCAAGTGAAATGTCAGTGACCCTACACTCTTCCCATCCAATAGCTTCTTGGGCGAAATTTTGAATTTAGCATGCTGGGTTTGGTCTGGGGAATTCCCAGCCAGACAGCTGACCTCAAGGAAGGGGGCTGAGGAGGACGGGGTTGGGGGCTGGGGGTTGGGGGTCAGAGCCTGGCTTTTCTTTCTGTGCCTCCTCCTCCCCTGCACTGGTGACTCAGACCATCCCCCATTCATTATGGTTTGCCTATTCTTTCTTTGCTAGCCGAGATGCCGCGCCAATTTCCCAAGCTGAACATCTCTGAAGTGGATGAGCAAGTCCGGCTCCTGGCCGAGAAGGTGTTTGCTAAAGTGCTCCGAGAAGAAGACAGCAAAGATGCCTTGTCTCTCTTCACCGTCCCCGAGGACTGCCCCATCGGGCAGAAGGAAGCAAAGGAGAGGGAGCTTCAGAAGGAGCTGGCGGAGCAGAAATCTATTGAGACCACGAAAAGGTTTGTCCCCAAACTCAGCTTTTGGAGGCACATAGTTATACAAACCCAGGCCAGCTGTCGGTGCATGTTCTGAGATGAGGTGCCTCATGGGAACTGGAGTGCCCCTGGGAGTAGAGGGAGCTGAGTAGGGCCTCACATCAGTGTTTTTGTGTTTATTTTTTTAACCAAGACCATTTAATTCACCACTTATTTCTTGAAGGAATTCTCTTGTGCTCTAGTTGAAAAGCTCAATAACCACTTCCTCGTAATTGTTTATTTAATAACAAATCATGTGTACAAATAGCATTTCCAAATCACATTTTAATTTACTTTCTGGAAATGTAAGGATTTCTTGGGATACATCAATGTTACTTTTTTCGTTCATCATGTGACAAGTATTTTCCTCAGCTTGTTGTTTGCCAGGGGTTGTGCTGGTGCTGGGGATGCAATAATGAACAAGACGGAAACAGTCCCTGCCCTGTGGAGCTCACAGAGAATCTAGACAATAATTAAGTAACTGAACAAATTCATTAAATGAAAAGTTCTAACAAAACAGAAACCACCTGAGTATTGGAAACAGGATTTTAATGTGGGGAGTTAGTTACACAGGTGGTGGAGAGCTGAGAAGTCAAACAGGGGAGAGAGAAGCAACCCAAAGATTGGACACAGTAGGAAGCAGCTTCCACCCCTAGGCTGGAGAGGCCATGGAAGAGAGATGGTGTTTCTGGAGCTCAGAGTGGGGCCATGCTGGGGAAGCTGAACCCATGGTGGGCCTGTGTGTTGGGAATTGGTGCCAAGGAGGAGAGATAGCAGCTGTGAGATACCTCTCAAGGCAGAGATGGAGGTGGAAGATACCCTGGCTTTACTCTTCCTGCATCTTCCAGTCTCTCTCAGTATCTCCCATTGGCTAAACCCAGTCAGAAGCCAGCAGACCTGCACCTAGAAAACATAGGGGAGTGTGAGGAAAGGATCTTGGGGCAGATAGGCCCAGCACAAATGCTATGAAGATCATTAAGGAGGGGAGAGGGAGAGAAAGGAAAATGAGGAATATGAGCTAACTTTTTCTTTCTTTCTTTTTTTTTTTAACTGTAATTTGGGTGAAAGTTTGCAAAGCAAATTCAGTTTCCATACAGCAGTTCACATACACTTTGTCTCAAGACATTGACTACAATTTACCCCAATGCAACAGCTCCCCTCCCACTTCCTCCCGATAGTTACCTCTTCCCTGTGTCCATCCCTCCATGCACTCCTGCCCCTGAGCTGTCTCTCTGTGCGTAAACAACCCTTCTTTCTCCTGTGATTGTTCTCTACAAGGAGTGTATCTACCTTAGGTAAATGTTCAACTCATATGCCTGTCTTTTGTTTGTCTGGAAGCCACAGGTGTGGGTTCAATTCCAGACCTGAAGGGCAGCTAGGGGCCATAGTCTCCGTGGTTCCACCATTCTCTATCACACCAACAAACCTGGTCCCCTTTTTTTTTTTCCAAATGATTTTGAATTTTGTTCCACATTGTTCTTCCTCTCTATCCAGGATCTCCTCCATAGATCCCCCTCTGAGTGGTTGACAGTGGTAGCCGGGCACCATCCAGTTCTTCTGGGCTCATAGTTGTATAGGCTGTAGATTGGATGGTGTACTAGTCACTAGGACTAATTGTTTCCATGAATCTTTGGTTTTCTTCATTCTTTGGAGCAAACTTTTTTGATTTCAAGAGGGTAGTCAGAGAAGGTCTCTCTAAAGAGGTGACATTTCCAAAAAGCTAAAGATGTGAAGAGTTGGGTGAGAGTCTTATTGGCACAGGAATCAGCCAGGACAAAGAACCTCAAGTATTTTGGAGACTAGTGTGGCTAAAGAGAAAAATGTCATGACATAAGACTGGAGGGGTGGGTAGGCCCAGTGGTGTGGTCATCCCTGGAGGGTATAGAAGAGCATGTCTTTGGAGACCTTCATCCACACTGCACTGGCTTAGCAGAAAGGCTAATATTACAGACTGAATGGTCTTCAGGCCGTTCTGTGTGTTATAAATTGAACATCTTAGCTCCTTATAATGAGAAGAGAAGGTGTCTTAGCATTTTTTTTTTATTGCCAGGAAGAATGAGTTTCTGAGGTCATTTTCCATTACAGAGTAACTCTGGGCTTGACATCTGCAAAAAAGAGATTATACTCTTTTTATCAATGTCTTATCAGTGTTACCAGCATATGGAAATATTCTTATTCTAAATCCAAATTGTGCTCCCTGGTTTCCAGAAGCTTCTCTGCAGAAACTTTGTTTCATGCCTACTTACTAGGTGGCCGTAGTTTGCATCTATCTGCCCTTCTGACAACAAGCCCATTGAAGACTGTGTCTAGCCCTCTCCTAGTCTGCAGGGTCCAGCCCAGGGCTTAGCCTCTGTTGGTAAGCAGTGAACATCTTAAAGAGGAAAGACCTCCTGACACCCCTTTCCCTCCACTGTCACCACAGATACTACATCCAAATGACGTAAGACTGGAGGGGTGGGTAGGCCCAGTGGTGTGGTCATCCCTGGAGGGTACAGAGGAGCATGTCTTTGGAGATCTTCATCACACTGCACTGGCTTAGCAGAAAGGCTAATATTACAGACTGAATGGCCTTCAGGCCCTTCTGTGTGTTATAAATCGAGCATCTTAGCCGCTTATAATGAGAAGAGAAGGCGTCTTAGCATTTTTTTAATGGCTGTAGCTCCTTGGACCACTTGGAAAACTCACTAGTAGGCTGTGTGACCTTGGGCAAATTAGGAAACCTTTCTGTGGCCCAGTTTCTTACTTCTCTATAAAGTGGGGTTGATAACAGTAGTTAACTTTTTGGTGTGTTGTGAGGAGTGGGGACTACTGCTGCTGAGTGCTTGCAGCAGGCTCAGTGCTGAGCTGTGCAGTTTACATTAATTTTCATGTAATGCCCACATCAAGCTTATCAAGCAGATATTCTTATTAGCTGGATTTTGCAGCTTAGCAAACTAAGGCTCAGAGAAGTTAACTTGCATCTGAACTCATAGTGAGTAAGTAATAGGGAAGCAACTGGAACTCGGATCCTTTGACTGCAGAGCTCTCACATTAAACACAAAGCTACGCTATCTCCAGATACGAATGGGGTCTTTGGCTACTCAGTCTGTAGTCACTGGAATATAACAGTTGGGCATAGGATATAACCGTTGGCTTCTGAATGAAATGGAAGGAAGTTGGGCTTAAGGTCCCCTTCTGTCCGCTGGCTTTTTTTCTTCCATAGGACAGGCTAGTCAGATGTGCCAGTGACCTCCAGGGCTATGCACCCCAAAATTTGTCCTTTATCTTCACTCTTCACTGGAGGCATCTTTATCCAAATATTATGGTAACAGTTTCATGGTGGATGTTCTTTCTCCAACTCTCTCTCTATCCCTGGCACCTCCCTACCTTTCTGGAATATAAATGGTGATATGGGGCGTCTGTAGAAGGAGCTTGCAGGCCTGGAACCAGGGGCAAGCCTGCAGATGCCCAGATTCTGTAGGTTTGTGCTTCAGACTAACATGAGATGGGGCTTCCAGTTTGGAAAAAGCTTTCCCTTGCCCTGGTTCCTCTAGCCTGGGTATTCCTGGCAAGTGGAGGAGGCTTTTCTTTGCAGCAAGTTTCTTCTTCTTCTTCTTCTTCTTTTTTTTAAAGTCTATTCTAAGATAAGCTAGAACCATGGGAGTTAAACAGATTTTTATAAGAATAACGAAAACTTGGGCTGTGAACAAGAAAGATGAGCACCTAAAATCCTGGGCTCATTGAACAGGATTATAGCAGCTATTAAGACCTACGCTGGGCTCAGACCTACCCCTGCCGGGATTGGGGTCTGGCTTCAGGGGGCCAAGGCTCAAGGCTACTCAGTAAGCACTTGCTTATGGGCCAGGTAAGATCAGGAGCTGGTGGCCAAGTCTCCACTGGGACTCCTACGTGCGGTTAAGGTGAGAGGGAGGTATGTACTATCTATAGTCAATACTGAATCTAAGAATCAAAATTAAATGGCAAAACAAGAAGACAGGAAAACCCTGGGAGTACCCAGAAGCTACCTTTTTTTTTTTTTTTTTTAAGCTTTCAGTCTCATCTGCCTTACCTAGCCAGAGTTTACCTACTCTACAAAAATCCATAGTTGGAACTTAACATTGATGAACATTGATGACCATGTGAAAAATTTTGGAGCAACCAAAATGTACATCAGGGCTTCTTAGAATCTACTGTTTCTTCTTTTTTAAACAGCTTTATTAAGATTTAAGGAGCTCTGGTGGCACAGTGGTTAAGCACTTGGTTGCTAACTGGAAGGTTAGTGGTTCGAACCTACCAGGCACTCCATGGAAGAAAGATGTGGCAGTCTGCTTCTATTAAGACTACAACCTTGGAAACCCTATTGGGCAGTTCTGCTATAGGGTCACTGTGAGTTAGAGTTGACTGGATAGCAATGGGTTTGGTTTTGGTCTTAGATAATTCCTCTACCATATCATTCACTGGTGTATAATTCAGTGGTTTTTATTATATCCATTGTGCAACCATCACCACAATCAATTTTTTCACAACATTTCCATCACAACAAAAATAGACCCTGTGCCTTTTAGCCATCATTCCCCACACCTCCATCCCATTTCATATTTATTCTTACTTTCACAGAATTCTAATAAGGTTAACTATTTTGTTTGCTATCCTATGACAGATTTGAAGCAGCAAATTAGAATTGGGGAGAGAGACTTCTATAGGTCAGATTACAGAAGTGTAGTGACTAGGAACACCAGCTTTGGAACTAGACTGACTGGGTTCAAATGACAGCCCCATCAGTTATAACTCTGTGGCCCCGGCCAAAGCTCTTAACTCTCTGAGCCTCAATTTCCTGGTCCACAAAATGAAGATATAAATAGGACCTACCTTGTGAGGCTGGCACAGGACTGGGCAGTGTTTTGTTCTGTTGTACATAGGGTTGTTATGAGTCAGAGCCTACTGGACAGCACCTAACAACAACACCACCACCATCTTGTGAGAACTAAATAAGTTAATACACATAA